AGCTTATAGGTTAGAGATGATAGAGTATTTTTCTCAATAAAGGCACATAGGACCTGATTGCCTCCCATTTACCTGCCTTTCACTTTTGGGAAAAATTCCTCCCTGACTTCCAAGGTTACAGTCTTGCCTCATCCCTATGGATGAAAAGGGGCCACATTTTAACCTGGCAAGCTCAGGGAAGGCCTGGGTGGTAGTTTTGCAAACTCAGCAACGTAAAGTAACCATAAAGAATAGTCTGAAGTGAAAACTTTTTAACTAAAAGCAGTTTATGGCAGGTAGTCCTGTCCTAGGTCTGCATCCTCCCTGACAAATTTTAAACTTTACCTTCACTAAGCCTGTCTACTTTTTGCGTCTATGATTACATATCTTTGGAATATTAAAGTAATTTTCCTTTTTATGGCCCTGTCAAAGCACAAGGCACCACTCTGTGGAGACCACAAATCCCCTTGTTACTGGAAAGGGGACCTGGCCCTTGGCCGGTCTGCCTAGGGCTGGCTGGTAGTGTGTGGGTTCTTGCCTTTGTGCAGGAAAGATTTCACAGTGCAAGTCCCAGTGAATTTTACAGGATGTTTATTAAAGCTGGAGACTGAAACAAGGAAAGGCTGGGAAATGAGCCTAGGGTGGTCTGCTTTGGCTCACTAAAAAATCAAAGAAAAAGTGGCCTTGGGGACAGGTTCAGGGGGTTTGCCCAGGATGAACTACCATTGCCCATTGCTGTCCTGGTTGCAAGCCTCGTGGGGTCCCTTAGAGTTTAGGAGATGCATGTCTGTGGGAGAAAAAGTGGGGGGAAGCATGGGCGTGCTCCTGGGAAGTAGAGCACGTGCTGGATCTTCCTTTTGAGGAGTTTTAAAGGCTGGGTGATTAGGGGAGGTCTTAGAATATTCATCAGCTTTATGCTGAAGTATCAGGTTTATTTCCTTAATTTGTCTGTCCTTGGGTGTGGTTGGTAAATGGCACTAATTGGATTTCTGCTGTTTCCCTGAGTAAGGTGATTTAAGCTATTTACCCTCTGGTTCCGGAGAAGTGCTAACCATTTACTCTTAAGTATCCCTGGTTTAGGGAAGATGCTGAAACTGCTGTTTAACTATCTGTCTCAGTTTCCCTATTCCGTTTGTCCTGGCTTACTGGCCTGTCTCACCCTCATTGTTATTAATTGTTGACTGTTAACTATACTGTACCCACTTAGGTAAAAGAACTATGTGTCTAGCATTTCTTTTTATCCAATCCCAGACGTTCCCCCACTTTGCTTTCTCCCGCCTCCCTAATCTATCACCAATGGATTTTATGTAACCTACCTACCTCTCTTCCTTTGATTGTAATGTATAAAACAAGGTGCAAAACTGCCCTTCCGAGGAGCATTATCTCAGTCTATTGAGACCGTGTTTCCCAACACTTGTCGACAGCTTGGCTTAAATAAACTCATAAAAATTCTTCACAGGTTTGAATGTTTCTTTACGTTGACATCATTTAGAGCTTCTTGAGCATAATTAGTCACTCAACAGCACTACCTGGTGTGTGATGGTTCCTGGGGATAGAAGACCAAGTCTCTGTCCTCAGTTTCTATGCAGAAGATTGACGTTGAACAAGTGATTTCAAGCGTAGAAAGGACCATGCAGGAAGTGCACATGCAGCAGAGAATCCTGTGTGATCCAAAGGCCTCTCCAAAGAAGTGGTCAAGGGTGACTTGGAATAAACTAAGAAAGGGGGAAGTGGAGGATGGGACAGGAGGCAGAGGGTTCTAGGCAGAGTGAAGAGTAAGCACCAAGTCCTTGGGGACTCAAGAACTGAAGTTCTAGTGAGGCTGAAGGCAAATAATGAAATGAAGAGGAATGAGTAAGCTAAGGACTTTTTCAAAACTGACTTTCTACCTCCCAGTCCTAAAAGAGGCCTGGCACACAGTAGGCCCCACTAAATATTTTGGTGAAGTGTCCTTGGACTATGATGTCCTCCTCACAAGAGTTTACAGTCTCACAAGCTGCTACCTCTTTGTCAATCTGGCAAGCTCCCGCTCATCTTTGAAGGTTCTTCACATCTGTCTCCTCATTGAGGCTTGTACCCCAAATCCACTCCCTTCAACAGCATTATTCACTTTCCCCACTATTCTGCCAGAACACCTAGTTTCCTTTTCATGTATATATAAAATTTATTTATATATACTCATGTGTAATTTGTATCATAATCTTCTTTGCCAGACTATGAGATTCTCAAGAACAGGAACTAGCTCCAATTCTAGGTAGACACTTGTACATGTTTGTAGAGCAAATGGATGGAGTCCTTGTCCTTTTCAAAGCATCCGTTCCAAAGTCCTTCTGTTGTAGGTGGCAGGAATGACCACCAGGTGTTAGACCCATGGGGTCACACTGGACCTGGGTTCAGCAACTTCAGTACGTGAATTCTGGCTAAGAAAGAATTCAGAGCCAAGACTCCAACTAAAAGACAACATTTATTTGGTAAATTATAGAGGTGGAAGAAGTAATTCCTAGAAGAAAGGGGCTGAGGAAACAAATTATGGAGGTAAAGGAAGGGCCCTTGGAGCTTGGGAGTGAGGGAAGCCTAGCCTAGGGAGAAAGGGGGGAGGGGAAGGGAAAGGCTCAGGTGTGCTCCTGAGAGGGAGAGCCCACTGGGTCCTAGGTCCTAAAGTTTTTCAAGGGTGATTTTAGGGGAGTTCCCAGGAGAGGATCTTAACAGAATATTTAGCAGCTTTGTAGAAGTGTCCTTTCAGGGTTGTGGTCTCTTCTGATTGGTCAGCACCAGGGCAGGGGGCCATTATTCAATGCAGCTGATCCTGAGGTCAGCCATGGGGTCACTGATCTGGTTGTGCTGCTTTTCTGGGCCTGGAGATGAAATACAATTGAGGCCTAGATGTTATCTCTAGGGAGGAAAGGTCAGGGGTCCAAACTACGTGACCATCAACTGAATTTCTGCACCTGGCCCATCGTCCTTGTTCTGCTCATGTCTGTCTAACTGCTTACCACACTTGAACCTATCAGGATCTGAAATTTTCTCGTTAATTTTTTACATTTTTTACACCCTTAGAAGGACCACAGTAGTCAAGATTTTGTCTGCCTCCTTCACTACTGCATCTCCAATACCTACAATGGTGCCAGGCACATAGTTGGGCTCAATGACTACTGGAGAGAAGGAACACAATCAAAGTGGCTTAGGGATCTTGAGTGTGACTATCCAGGCATCTGACACCTTTTCCCAGCTCTGGGGAAAAACAAAAATTTGACCACATTTAATCCCAACATCCAAATTATGCTCTGGGCTCTGCAGACTGAGGCACAGGTTTGAGTCCTGGCTCTGCTACCAGTTTCCTTGGGTAACCTCATTTCTGAGAGAGAGTTTGGTGCAACAGAAAGAACATGAGCTTTGGAATCTGCTACTTACCAACTATGGGACTTAGAACAAAGCTTTAGTTTCCTCATTTGTCAAAGGGAGATATTCTTGATTCCCACACAGCTGTAGTAAAGGGGCAAGGTAGGGATTTTAAGAATTTACTGAAATGTTATTTCTCTTTCATCATTTCTGATTTTTAGTTGCCCTATCCATAAAAAGGGAGAATTAGATATCTTTTTCAAGAGTAATATGAAATACCTCAATTTTAAAATGTTGGAAATGGAAATTTGCAAAAGACCTCTCTTTTTAAAAGCTAATTTTTAAATGTAAAAAACACCCTGAAGGTCCAGCGAGATACTTCTGTGGACTGGATTTGGCCTGTGAGGTACCAATTTTCCACCTAGGCTACTGGGTTTTGGGGGATGCTATGAGAATCCTTACTGTATAATTTAGGCAAATCAGCTTACTTCCCAGAACTTTAATGAGCCCATCTGTAAAATGGACCCACCTCTGTGTAGATCAAAAGAGATCAACAAACTCATACAGACAACACAGAGAAGGGGGTGGGGGAGGAA